TATTCTTGTAGAATTCAAATCAATAACTCCCAACTCCCCATGTGCCTGTAATTCCTATTTAGTGTTTAATTGTATCTATTTAATTTTAACTGCTGAAGGCCTCCCTAGTGGAAGGCAGCAATGACTCCTGCTGTTGCTAGGAAGCAGCTCGTAGACCACAGTGGCACATGCGTAAATGGGACAAACGTCTCTGGTGCCATTTCTGCCCCTGAAAAAATCCACAAGCCAGACTCCAGAAGCAATGCCAAAGGACCAATTTGCACTGTGTTGTGTTTTCAGCATCAAGTCCTGATTAAGATTCCAAATCCTCCAAGTGTCCCCGTTTTCCAGGGACAGTCCCAGAATTACAGAAGCCATCCCAGTTTCTGAATTAATACAGGAATGTCTCGCTTTTCCTTATAATGCCCCTGTTTCCATCAGAGGAATGTTGGAGGGTAGGGAGTTATGTGACCCCAAAGCCAAGGAGATAAGTAACTGGACTTTAGAAGACACCTGAAAGCAGCCCTGTACAGGGCATTTTTTTAATGTTTAGTGTTTTGTTATGTTTTTATATATTGGAAACCACTCAGAGCGGTTGAGGCAACTCAGTCAGATGGATAGGGAAGAAATGTTGGAGGATATGAGATTCCACATAGCTGTTTGTGATGCAACTGGGTTATCTATAGCCTGGTGGCAGGGTTATCTATAGCCTGGTGGCAGGATGAAGGGAACACAGTGGATGTAGCCTATCTTGATTTCAGCAAGGCATTTGACAAGGTGCCCCATGATATTCTTGTAAAGAAGCTGGTAAAATGCGGTCTTGACTATGCTACCACTCAGTGGATTTGTAACTGGCTGACTGACCGAACCCAAAGGGTGCTCATCAATGGTTCCTCTTCATCCTGGAGAAGAGTGACTAGTGGGGTGCCACAGGGTTCTGTCTTGGGCCCGGTCTTATTCAACATCTTTATCAACGACTTGGATGATGGACTCAAGGGCATCCTGATCAAATTTGCAGATGACACCAAACTGGGGGGGTGGCTAACACCCCAGAGGACAGGATCACACTTCAAAACGACCTTGACAGATTAGAGAACTGGGCCAAAACAAACAAGATGACTTTTAACAGGGAGAAATGTAAAGTATTGCACTTGGGCAAAAAAAATGAGAGGCACAAATACAAGATGGGTGACACCTGGCTTGAGAGCAGTACATGTGAAAAGGATCTAGGAGTCTTGATTGACCACAAACTTGACATGAGCCAACAGTGTGACGCGGCAGCTAAAAAAGCCAATGCAATTCTGGGCCTCATCAATAGGAGTGTAGCATCTAGATCAAGGGAAATAATAGTGCCACTGTATTCTGCTCTGGTCAGACCTCACCTGGAGTACTGTGTCCAGTTCTGGGCACCACAGTTCAAGAAGGACACTGACAAACTGGAACGTGTCCAGAGGAGGGCAACCAAAATGGTCAAAGGCCTGGAAACGATGCCTTATGAGGAACGGCTAAGGGAGCTGGGCATGTTTAGCCTGGAGAAGAGGAGGTTAAGGGGTGATATGATAGCCATGTTCAAATATATAAAAGGATGTCACATAGAGGAGGGAGAAAGGTTGTTTTCTGCTGCTCCAGAGAAGTGGACACGGAGCAATGGATCCAAACTACAAGAAAGAAGATTCCACCTAAACATTAGGAAGAACTTCCTGACAGTAAGAGCTGTTCGACAGTGGAATTTGCTGCCAAGGAGTGTGGTGGAGTCTCCTTCTTTGGAGGTCTTTAAGCAGAGGCTAGACAACCATATGTCAGGAGTGCTCTGATGGTGTTTCCTGCTTGGCAGGGGGTTGGACTCGATGGCCCTTATGGTCTCTTCCAACTCTATGATTCTATGGTTCGTAACACAGGTCTGCAATAGGGTTTCTTCAAGGGATGCGGGTGGCACTGTGGTCTAAACCACTGAGCCTCTTGGGCTTGCCGATTGGAAGGTCGCCGGTTCGAATCCCCACTATGGAGTGAGCTCCCATTGCTCGGTTCCAGCTCCTGCCAACCTAGCAGTTTGAAAGCATGCCAGTGCAAGCAGATAAATAGGCACCACTGTGGCGGGAAGGTAATCAGCATTTCCATGGGCTCTGGTTTCCATCACAGTGTTCCATTGTGCCAGAAGAGGATTAGTCATGCTTGTCACATGACCCAGAAAGGTGTCTGCGACAAATGCTGGCTCCCTCAGCTTGAAAGCAAGATGAGCACCACAACCCCATAGTCATCCAGGAGTCCTTTACCTTTTTAATATATATATAGATACCTTTTATCTCTCCAAGTACAGTCATACCTCGGGTTACAGACGCTTCAGGTTGTGCGTTTTTGGGTTACGGATGTGCCAAAACCTGGAAGTACCGGAATGGGTTACTTCCGGGTTTCGGTGCTCGCACATGCGCAGAAGCACTAACTCATGCTTTGCGCATGCGCAGAAGTGCCGAATCGCAACCCGCGTGTGTGCAGAAGCGGCACTGCGGGTTGTGGACGCTGTGGGTTGCAGACATGCCTCCTGCACGGATCACGTTTGCAACTCGAGTATCCACTGTACAAAGGAAGTCTTAAACAGATACACTAAACCAAGTTATTAAAGTTATTATTATTATTATTATTATTATTATTTCTTTTCTTTATACCCCAGCTATCAGGAGCCAAAGTCAGGAGTCAGGCTCTTATTATGTTCTTATGACTCATTGTCTCAGGGGGGCAGCTTCTGACACCTCCTCCTCCCAGTCTGCTCTCTCTTCTCCCTCTGACCACTCTGACCTCCTTCCCCTGGGAGTTCCCTTGGGGGTTCCCCTGCTGGTGCCTCCCCCGCTCCTCTGCATCCAGCCAATCCATGACACCGCCTTTCTCCCAGAACTGGGACTCAAGGCGGCTTACAAAACTTAAGACAAGCATGGATGAAACACAGAAAGCTAATAACATAGAAAAGATAACACAGTCATACCTTGAAAGTTGAACGGAATCCGTTCCGGAGGTCCATTCGACTTCCAAAACATTCAGAAACCAAAGCATGCCTTCTCATTGGCTGCAGGAAGCTTCTGCAGCCAATCGGAAGCCGCGGAAGCCCTGTCGGACGTTCGGGTTCCAAAGAACGTTCGCAAACCGGAACACTAACTTCCGGGTTTGCAGCGTTCGGGAGCTAAAAAGTTTGAGTACCAAGGCGTTTGGGATCCAAGGTATGACTGTGTTTGAAAAGGAATTAAACCATCATATGGAATTAAAACCATGATGGAATCAAAATCAAAATCAAAACCATGATGGAAATGAAAAGGATAAAAACAGCACAGCACTATTAAAAGCCCTTTCCTTAAAAGCACCCAGTTCCCCAAAGCCTGCTGGGAATAAAACAGTCTTCACCTGCCAGTGGAAAGACAACAAGGAGAGAACTAGCCTAGTTCTCTTCCATTGCATGGAAAATGTTCTCTGTGCATTGCAGAACTCGGCATTATCCTGGGGTTTCAAAGTTTTGTCAGTGCTAGAGCCCAGCAACAGAGCGTTGTGAAATAATAAAGAGGGGGATAACCCCTCGAGCATGTACAGAGTGCCTTCTTGCCACTGAGTAACACCTGCCAGCTTCTGTGCATCCGAGATAAGAGTTTCTGAGGCAGAGCACGTGGTTTCCAGGAGAAAACCAAACTGCCATTTTATAAAAATGTATATAACCCTTCAAGCAAGGTTGGGAATGACATTTTCATCTTCAGCCACTAAAAAGAAGATGCAGAGAGAGAGAGAGAGCGCTGAAGTGAAGAGTACCTCAGCAAGAAATGATGCTTCGGTCTCAAGAAGATATTGCCAAGAAGGATCCTAAACTTCCACCTCTTAAAAAATAATAAACTGCCATCTTCTGACTTTATTGGATATCTCCTCCTGCCTCAGATTCTTTAGTGCTAGATAATAACTTCTGATAAAACTTCCTGTTTCGCTGAGAAAATTGCATTTGTCTCTGTACTTTATATTTTATTTCCTGTCTATCAAGGCACTTCAAGCTACTCGGTCCCTTTTCACTGACTTTGTATTTCTCTAATGGTTTTGTTACGTATCCAACCTATCTGCCCGGGAACTCTCTTATCTTCTACTTTTTTTTTCTTTTTCCTCTTCAGTTATGAAAAGGTCATGTTCTCCCTTCATAAAGAACACAATAGCCAAAATAAGTGTGCACGTAATGCCCCCTTTGCATTATTCACGCCTCTTCTGACATGCAGAATCTGGATTTTTCAGGGAACAGGAACTGGGGTCTCAAACGGGGGGGAAGCAGCATGGGAAGTAGTGCTAAGAGATCAGTAAGAAAAGGGGTGTGGTGCAGATAATATAAAGGAAAGGTTTTTAAGACACTGAGGGCATATCAGCACTACAACCACTGCATGACAGGTTGATTGGCGTGGCTTCTCCAAAGGAATCCTGGGTAATTGTTAGTGAACTTGTTAGATAGTTACCGTATTTTTCGCTCTATAGGATGCACCAGACCACAAGACGCGCCTAGTTTTTAGAGGGGGGAAATCAAGAAAAAAAATATTATCCCCCCCCCCAGCCCCAAAGAGCAAAGAAGCCAAGACAGCGAGCGCGATCCATCCCGCTGGCTGTCTTGGCTTCTGCCATAGCCGCACGCAGCCTCTCCCGGCACGGAGAGGCTGCGCGAGGCTATGGCAATTCCCCCACCTCCCGCAAAAGCCCACAGGAGCTGCACACCCTTTAAGGAGCACACTGCTCCTGCGGGCTTTTCTATGAGGAGAGAGAAGGGACTGACTTTGGGGGGCTTTTGGGGGATTTTCCTGCCTGCCTCCCCCCTGCATTCACTCCATAAGACACACACACATTTCCCCTTACTTTTTAGGAGGGAAAAAGTGTGTCTTATGGAGCGAAAAATACGGTAGATAGAACTACAGTTTCCAGAGTTCCTGGGGAGAGGCTGGAGGTTTATCATAGAATGGTAGAGTTGGAAGGGACCAGGAGGGTCATCTAGTCTAGCCCCCTGCAATGCAGAAATCTTTTGCCCAACGTGGGGCTCAAACCCACAACCCTAAGATCAAGAGTCCCACGGTCTGCCGACTGAGCTCTCCCAACGAGAAAGAAAGAAAGTTGCCCTTTTCTGCTCCGTTTTCTAAACCTTCACCCAACACTGTCTGGACATTCCCCGTCGTTTTTGTGGAGAACGATGACGTGATCCAGAAACTTTCTTTTTGTCTTTTAAACAAATACTTTCTCACAAGGTTATCATTTGTTTTTCTGGGTCTGTTATTCTGCCATGCAGTTGGAGAAGCACTTATGAAAAAGAGAAAGGTTTGCTTTTGCTCTTGAGCAATTGGGGGTTTGTTTTTGTTCTAAAAATAGTTATTCATTCAGGTTCTTAGTTCACAAGGAAAAAATAAAAACTTCACACAATAGAACTGCGGGGCAAAACACAGGCATAAGTAAAGTTGGGATTAGTATGCACATAAGTGGTGATTATGATTTCCATTGTCCTTGAGCATTTGTTTTAGTGTTCTGTATTGTTTTTAGAGTTACAAAACAGATGCCACTCTGAAACCCATTCATAGAAGCCAGGCCTCTGCAGGCGACAGTCCTCAGACCTCTTTTCAATGTCAGGGCTTATCCCAAGGAAACATGAAATTCTGATCCAGGACAGAGCGTCTCTGAGCAACGGCACGAACTATGCATGATCAAGCATATTTACATCCTATTGATCTTAATGGAATGAATGCTAAGAGTGCTGGACTTTGGCTGAGTCATTTAATACTTCATTTATCTTAGGGTTTTTGGGATCTTAATTTTTCCCTTCATTGAAACAACCAGGGTACACAAGGTTATTCAAAATTATCTGTGCCGAAACATTTACTATTGTATTTGAAAAAGACAAAGATTGTTGTATTACTTATTATTTCAATTTCAAACAATTCGGCAATGTCAAGTTTTGTGCTTTTCGTTTTTTCTACAAGACACCTGTTTTTGAAATGTGAAGTTAGCAGGGGTTTTTGAGGGGGGGGGCTGCATACATGAGTACTTGACATAGAAAATAACATCCATCATGAAAACAGACACAACTTATTAAAATGCACAGTGCTGCCTGCTAGAGATGCAATGCCTTTAAAACAAATATTGTACAGTCCTGAAGGCTTCAGAGATGTACTGCATGATTATTCATTCCTTGGCTTAAAGTTAATTGGGTGAAAGAGAAAATGTTACATTGTCGAATGAGCCTCTAATGCCAGAAAGGGGGTTCCGATCGGCACAGCGACTTGGCTTTATTTTCTCCTTGTTCATTTTCAGCCTGCCAGATGGAATGTTCCTCAGCCTTTTATGGCTTCTATATCCATTTTATTAGCCATATGTTTTGATTGATCTTGTTATTCCTGACAAGAAATCAATTGAAGGGGGGGAGGGGAGGAATACTGTGCCGGAATAGATCTCTTCCTTGATGGAACAGAACAGACTTACAAAAACAAAACAAAAAACAGTACAGTTACTGTACAACAGGCAATGCTTTCTAGGTCTTACCAAGACACATCTAGTGACACAGGCCGCATTCACCCCAAACATTTAAAGCACTATGATACCACTTTAAATACTCACAGCTCCCCTCAATTCTTTATGGGAGCTGTAGTGCTCTAAGAGTGCTGAGAGCTGATAGGAAACCCCTATTTGACTAGGAGGGTAGCCGATGGGTCTCAAACTCTCAGTGAGTTATGGACTTCCCCTGCATGTGAAGACAGGCTCTGGAGGATTGAGTGGATGAGACCAAGGACTCAGACAGACTGGTAAAGGAAATGCATTGTATATGCATTATAACACTGTAACACCAGATGGCACTGTGGAGTTCCATTTTTGACAACCCGATTTGTCATACAAAGTTTACAGCACATTTTCCTGAAACGTTTTTTTGATATGTCTCCTAGGAGCCTACTCCAGGGGGCTATGGGTGCCTGGGCACCCACAATAATATAATTGTGGGAGCAGGGCACCCACAAAGTCAATGAGAAAAGCCAGTAGGTGTCAGTGCTGCCTCAGAGAGAAGCAGTTCGGCTCCACAGCCAGCCAATGAGGCACCAGGGGAAGGGTGAACGCAGAGGCAGAGTCTTTCTGTAGAAAAGGGTGTCTTGCTAGCTGTGGAGAGGAGAAGGAAGAGGAGCCAGCTGTAAGGAGTACCATGAGTATTTGCAAGGGCCAGGCCCTGAACACAGTGAGGAGTTGCAGAACCAGGCCCTTGCCATGTTTGTCTTGGGGAGGTCAGGTGTGGCCTGGCAGATGTGGCCAGATCAGGAGATGTGCCACACCTGGAGACAATCCCAATATGAGGATATAAAGCCAGCATTTCGCCCTGGTTCTGTGCCACAGCAATGTGGTTTATTCCCTGCTGTTGCCAGTTCCTGCTCCTTCCTTCCGTTCTTTCATTCTAGCCTCATTGAGTTTCTTAGGGTAGAATGTGCATATAATGTGACTATATCCATGACAATTGCATACAAAAAAATGCATGGCATTTGGGGAAAGTGCTTTGCAAAAATGTGCAAATTAGACAAAATTCGCACTAAAGTGCTTACGAACTTTCAGGAGGACTTTTTTGAAAAATTGCAGGTTCATGTGGAAATGTGGAGAACTGAATTTACGATTTGAAAAATGAGGAACTGAGGGAAATCACCATGGGCAGTTTTACACATTCCCTACTAATAAGCCACCTAGAGATGAATCCTGAAAGGCAATATGTAAATTGTTGTTCAGGAAAAGAGTGTTGTCGGGATAATCTTATCTGACCCTACTTTGACTGCCTTGAGCTACTTGGAGCAAAGTGGAAAAGAAATCTGATGCACAACGAAAGCTGAGAATTAGAATTCAGGTCCACTGGTGGAAGTCCAGAGCATCCAATCACTTTCAAGACGTAGTAGCCTATGATGGATTCATTGAGCAACATACTTGGTTCAGCAAGCAGTAATTTGAGTTACGGCCATGAATTTGGGCCAACAGACAATCAATGTTCCTTTCTCCATGTATTTATTTGTAAGGGAATGATTTATGTACTTGAGGGGAGAGTGGATTCAATCCCTTTGTACTCAGTATCCCTTACAGTGTGTCAGAATTGCCTTCTGCTTAATATATAGCACCTCTCAATTTCGGGACTTACTGACATCCCGTAAAATGACACTTCATTAAGAATCAACCAGGAATAATCCATCCAGAACTATTTTTTTATCGATAAAATTTGAGAGGAGAAATATCAGGGTCACTTATCACTTTCCACATAGGGAAGGGACAATGAAATCTTTATTGGAAAAATCTAGCTGGCAAGAATGTGTTCAATCTTGTCAGGGATAGCACAGCCACCGAAATATATTGCCTGAGCTTTACAGCGGTTACTCTAACCAAACATGCCATGTCAGCAAAATTACAAAGCTTAAAATGACTTTCGTGTCAAAGTATCACCGGGGTTTTCATTTCTCCATATTTTTGCCAGCCAAAAAATAAAATAAATTTCAATGAAGCACTTTGTATATGGACTTTGAAAAGTCGCCCTGATGTATCGCAGACCTTGTCATGCAACGTAGGCCAAGATCAAGATTTATGAATCACCAAGACCTAAAGATTTTACACACACACACACACACACACACACACACACAATGTAAAGAATTCATCTTTCAAAATTCATATCACATTAGCCACTCAGAACCAGACTATGAGCCAAGCAGGACCCATTCAGTCTCATTCTCTCTCAAATACATACTCCTCCATGTATAAGTGTGGATCTGCTCGGAGTATAACTGTATCTATTCCATTTATACTTTGGGCGCATCTACACAATACATTTAAAGCACATTCACCGCACATTTAAAGCATATGACTTCCCTCAAAGAATCCCAGGAGATGTATGTTCCCCCAAAGTGCTACAATTCCTAGCACCCTTAACAAATACAGTTCCTAGGATTCTTCGGGGGAAGTTGTTGTTGTTTAGTCATTTAGTCGTGTCCGACTCTTCGTGACCCCATGGACCAGAGCACGCCAGACACTTCTGTCTTCCACTGCCTCCCACAGTTTGGCCAAACTCATGCTGGAAGCTTCGAGAACACTGTCCCACCATCTCGTCCTCTGTCGTCCCCTTCTCCTTGTGCCCTCCATCTTTCCCAACATCAGGGTCTTTTCCAGGGAGTCTTCTCTTCTCATGAGGTGGCCAAAGTACTGGAGCCTCAGCTTCACAATCTGTCCTTCCAGTGAGCACTCAGGGCTGATTTCCTAAAGAATGGATAGGTTTGATCTTCTCGGGGGAAGTAATGTGCTTTAAATGTATGGTGTATATCCACCTTTTTTTACCTTTTTAGAATACCACTGAAAATGTTATATGTAGAGTAGGTAATGGGTAGCCTCCCTTCTAAGCACTCTGGATTAAAGTTATATGCCCAACAAATGCTCTGCACCATATGTGCATCACACGCTCATGAACACAATACGTTGATTTGTCCATCAAGCCCAGAACTGTATACTCCTGACTGGCACAGCTTTCCAACATCTCAGGAAGAGGTATTTTCTGCTATCTGGTCTTCTTTTAACTGGAGATGCCCAAAATTAAACCCAGGACAACATCTGCTCCATGACTGAGCTCCACTCCCGTTTCTTATACAGTCATTCCATTTTCTCCAGAGATCCTTGGGATCTATAGTTCTCCTCTGGAGTTGAGGAATGCCTCGTGGAAAACATCTTGGCACTCTCACCAAACTACAAATCCTAAAGTTACAAAAATGCATCTCTTGGGGGGAAATGTCCAGAACAACAATGAATAGATTGGGGGGGGGGTAACAGAAATGTGTTACACGAAGAGAAATTCACATCAAAATGTGGATTTCCATAAGTAAATAATTCACAAATTACTGAAGAAATGTGGAGAACTGAATTTAAAATTGGAAAACTTGAAAAACTGAGAGAATAAAAATTGACAGATTTTAAAAACATCCTTAGTGAACACTGTGGGGAAACCTCCAGACAGCCACACCGCGGATTCCACAACAATCTCCCATAAACATGCATGTGATTTTGCTGCAGTTTTGGAAGCCAGCAATGTTACAGATGCTATTTG